CCCCAAAACCCCAAAACCCCAAAACCCCAAAACCCCAAAACCCCACATAAATCCTCTACTGAATCCCTACCATATAATTAAATGGGAAATTGCCAGAATAGCTACTGAGGAGATGTAACAACTTTTTGTATGTCAGAGGGTGGAATATTTGAAGGACAACATCCACTTCCTGAGAGGAATGAAGAAGAGGCAAGATTAGTAGCTGCGATAAGTATTCAGGCCACTTGGAGAGGACATGCTGCGAGAGAGAGGGTGAAGCGGATGAGTTTAGCAAAAGGAGGAAGTTCTAGGTGAGTCGGTTTTTGTAACTATGAAATTCTTAATGGTTTAGGTATTTTACAGCTGAAGAAGCAAATGAGACTATTAGGAGAGATAAAATTTTTGACCTTGATCAGACCAGAATCACGAGAAAGCATTCATACCAAAATCATACCTCCTCATCTAACACCACTCACCCCAACTCTGCTAATCCTTCGTCCAAACCTACATCCCTTAAATCTGGTTCTACCTACGACGGTGAATGGAAAGGAGGCTTCAGAGACGGCCATGGCATTCAAACATGGGCAGATGGAGCGACCTACGAGGGATCTTGGAGGTTTAATAAAGCTGAAGGAGAAGGTAAATTTACTCATGCTGATGGAGTCGTTTATGAAGGAAACTGGGCGTATAACCAAGCCAATGGAGTTGGACTATACACTCATAGCAACAATGCTACTTATAAAGGAGAATGGAAAAATGATCTCCAGCACGGTAAAGGCATCGAGAAATGGCCAGACGGCTCAGAATACGATGGGTATTATAGAAAAGGCAAGAAGCAAGGATATGGCTTCTATAGATGGAATGACGGCAGTCAGTTTGAAGGAGAATGGGCTGAAAATGAGATTTCAGGGGTAGGAACTTATACGTGGATTGATGGCAGGAAGTATGAAGGAGAGTGGAGGAGGAGCAAGATGGAAGGATATGGAATTTACTCTTGGAAGGACGGCAGAGAATATCAAGGACAGTATAAAGACGATAAGAAACAAGGCTTTGGAATATATAAGTGGGTTGATGGAAGAAAGTATGAAGGATCTTGGGCTTTAGGTAAACAGCATGGTCTTGGTCGCTACCTAGTACCTCAGGAAGGAGTCGAAAAGTATGGCCTATGGGAAAACGGAAAGAGAATCAAATGGTTCGATGAACAGGCTGTGCAAGACATTATTAATGGAGAAATTCACTGGCATGGCTTGTTTAATACCCCAGAAGCTGCAGAATATGCTTCTAAAAAAGCTAGTTTCGATAAACCAAAAGGATTCGATGCGAGAATAACTCATATTATTGAAAAGATCAAAAACAACGAAAAATACTAAATTTCTTTCTGATAAATAAGTTATAAAAATGCCCAAACTTGCTCAATCAGTTTCTCTAATCCCGGGGTTTTGGGGTTTTGGGGTTTTGGGG